CAATAACAAATGTAACATCTATCACAATTTTCACATTTTTATAGGACTGAAGTTAAAAATAGACAAATTGTGTGTCTATGGTCTCTTTTATTTTTGTAAAAAATAATTTTTTTAAAATTTAGATGTTTAACCAAAACCAAATTTTTATTGTTTTAGTCCTTTAACGTCAGATGCTAATCAGCAAGAAATGCTTTCATTTTTAATTGTCTTCCCTTTTTCCCCCCAAAATATTAATGTGACAAAGTGTGACGGGGTTGAAGACTGTAACACATTTGAAGGAATACATTGCCTTCAATTTGAATTTTCCGTTTTTGTTTCTTTCTCATATTGTCCTCTTCCTTCTGGGTCAGCATATCTGCATTCCCAACATTGTCTTTCTGCTGCTAATGTGGAAGCAAATTCTGATGTAGGATGTTTGTCAAAATTTAAGTGGACATACATTAAATATTCTATTTATAACAAAAATATGAGTATTTTTGTAAGTATATATTTACTGAAACAATGACTATTTTATATATTTTTTAATTAAAATTAATAATCATTTTAGTAAATAAAACTCAACCCTGTCACAAGTTTACAACCCCAAAACAATTAGAAATATACATATTTGTGACAGGGTTGAGCGTGATGGGGTTGTATTTTTTTTGTTGTTGCTCAAAATGGCCACTGCCCCTCATGTAGTGTAGGAGAGTAGTCCATATATTGCAGCAATAAAGTTAAGCACATTGTATATACTTATGATTAAAATAATAATTTTCCATCTTAATTTTATGTAACAGGGTTGAGCTGTTAAGCTTGACTGTACCATCCCTGACTATAATACACCTCAAAAATAAGAATAAAAAGTATGATACTACTTACCATTTTCTGCACCACTATTAAAGAGACACGAATGATGTAATTTCTGGTAAATGGTGTCACATATGGGTGGAGTCTAATTTATTATGGGCATTGACTGGTTAGTGTGTTGAGCACAGACTGAGGAACATAACTTTAAAGTGTTTTTATCAAATATATCTCACAAGAAAGGAACACAAATAAATGCTTACATTATTGCCAAAAAAGTTAGACACTCTGCACATTTTGTTAATAATTTTCTAAGTACAAACTGAACAAAGTGCCTCAGGGACATGACAAAATGCTTGGTGTAAGATAGAAATTAGATATTATTTTATGCTAAAAATGATTTAAATGCAAGAATCGTTTTTATTAATTATAATGGCCATACCAAAGTATTGTGAAAAGCTTTTAACACTTTAAAAAGGGACTGAAACGTTGCCGAATCCCAGGAATGACCCGTGTATAGAAATATGTATATAACATATAAAAATGAAAATATTTTTTTACATTACATACAGTGGGTACGGAAAGTATTCAGACCCCCTTAAATTTTTCACTCTTTGTTATATTGCAGCCATTTGCTAAAATCATTTAAGTTAATTTTTTTCCCTCATTAATGTACACACAGCACCCCATATTGACAGAAAAACACAGAATTGTTGACATTTTTGCAGATTTATTAAAAAAGAAAATTATATTATAGTAAATATAATATTCAAATATATTAATTGATAAAAACATGTTTGTGATAATGTAAAGGTGGGCATAGACAGAAACTGTATCATACATAATTATCAAGCGAAATAATCGGAATGCCAACATTCCCATCTCATCCTTTATTTTGTTCATGAGCAAGCATCGACTTCACTATAATTACTCCTTTGAATAATAGAAATGTGAATGAGCTGGAAGGAGCATCCAACAGTTCTACAACATCCCCAGTTTTCATTTCTACAGCAAAAAAAATAAAAAATAAAATTAATTCAAAATGTGAACAATGACCACTGAAGGCTGCAAATCTGAGACAGATAATCTTTGATTCAGTAGTATCACCAGTATCCTGTCCCATCTACTCCGCTCCAAACCCACAGTACCATGTGCCAGTTACAGGAAATATTTATATCTTGCGTTATACATGCAAAGACAATGCCCCGTTAGACAAGCACCATCTGCAGCCGTTCACACTCAGCACAGACTGCTTATTTATTATGGAAAGTTTCTGCGCCAGTGCCTTAAAATCGTCAAAATCACATTGTTTGAAATACAATTCAGATGAGCTTTCCCTTGAGAACCTGCAGATGAATATTTGCATCAGGGGACAGGAGGGAAGATACAAACAATTGTGCGATTTTCAGTACAAACATTGATTATACTAAATTTGGTCTCATGGAATGGTCTACATCGATCAACCAGTTTTTAAAAGGATTGCAAGTTGAGAACACACTGTGAGAGACTTACATTAGTGTGAGAAATCATTATGTATCTGCTTCTTGTGAATTTCATGCTGCCCTCTACAGCGTTATCAGGAGATACACCTTTCACTATACACATATTGTTAAACTCATACCCACATATGCTGCCTATAATGATGTACATTTTATCGAAGTGGATTTCCTCAAACATGATTTAGTACAATATTCATTGATGATACAATATGGGCCTATTTTCTCTACACATCAACATGAACACAAGACATCTATTCAGGACAATTAAAACGTCCACTCTTGATAAAACTAGCTGTTGATCCCTAACAGAAAATTAAAATCACTTCCGCATACCTGTAAGAAATCTAATATTAAATAATTATAAAATGAGAAAATTGCAACAACTAAAATGGCATGGATGAATGTTTGGTTAGTTGTGTTATTAATGTGCTGTGACAGGCTAAAGGCACTCCCAACTCCACCAGCTAGAATTCTGGACCTCTTTTTAAAAGTCCTGTCAATTTTGAAGGGGGGACCTGATGACCAAAACATGTAACGAAAATTAAAACCTACAAGAAACAGCTGACGTTTCGGAAAAATCTCCCGTCGGCCTTTCATGGGTCACAAAAATAGACCTTCTCGACAACTTCCCGCATTGTACCTTTTCTGACATAACAAAATTATATTCATACCACCAATCATAACAAAGCCTTGTAGCCTAGGCCTTAAACTGAGAATATTCATGCATGTAAACAAAACAAATCTGTACCCTAAAGCTTCACGTCCGTCTTTACTAAACAATCAAACAATGTACAATCTCCTAAATAGTTAACATTCTTTTTTCCAGGCCAAAGGGAACGGAGTATTAATTTCTCCAATAAATGACCATTTTGGAAGGGGTGCATCCCAAAATGTCCAATCACGGTAAGAAAATTAAACTATGGCATGATTCTGAGAGCGTCTACGAGGAGAAATGACCTGCAAATCTGGAGTAGATTGATAGCATCACCAAAAAGGAATAAAAGTTTACCAAATGTAAACAAATATCTTTACACAACTCTACAGTACAGTTCCATGTACAATAAAATCCAACGGCCATACTGCAAAAATATGTTATGCTTTAAGAGTTGAAATGCATTTCTTTTAATGCGCTGATAGGCAAATTAGCCCTTTTAATGCTTTTAGGGGCCTTGAAATGACAAGAATAACTTGGGTTAACCCTGAATTTGAAAATAAAAAAAACATCACTAAAAATACTACATATATATATATATATATATATATATATAATAAAATCAACACACCCCCTCCCCCCACCCCTAAACATCACT